TACTTGGCAGAATTGCAGAGAACAGCACTGAGATCCAGAGACAAGACCATGAGAAGGAGGTGCAGGCTCTGAAAGAGGAGATTAAGAGACTGAAAGAGGAGAGAGTCAGTCTGCACAGAAAGATAGAGGAGGGGGGCCAGGTGAACTCTGACCTGCAGGAACAAGTCATCCAGCTCTCCAAGCACGTCAAGGCCATTCCTGAGCTCCGCAGAGACCTGAACAGCCTGCAGAATCAGAGGAATAACATGGACCGAAAGATGAAGCAACAGTCGGAACAAGCAAGAGGTACAGACTTTTCCATACTTAGTGAACCATATTTAGAAATATGATACGATCTCATGTTAGTACACAGGCGAAGTAATCCCTGAATATTTTTTCTGCAGCTAAAATGAACGAGATTACAAGACAACTTCTTGGTGGTGTTGTTGAAGAGGAGGTTCTTTTAGGGTAATCCAAATACTTTTTGTTTCTCTCATGTAGTTATTCTACGGTTCATTTAGAAATTTAATCTCACACATTGTTTCTCTGAAGGCTAACTCCAGGTGATTCTGAGAAGATTTATGACGTTGAAGATTTTGTGGCAGCCTTTGAAGGCCTGCACAAAGCTACCAGGTCTGTACCATTGCAGTCCTTCCACTTATACCAGATGTATTAAGTGTAACACTCGACCCTGTTAAACATGGTTCCACCTTTGATGGCAGAATACTGGAAAACCACCAGAGGGAGCAGAAAGAACAGTATGAGACCCAACTGGAGGGCTTGCAATTGAAAGTGGACCACCTTAAAAATGAGAACAGCAAGCTCCAAAACCTGTTCCAGGAAAAAAGTAGTGTCAACGAGGATATTCGCCAAGAAGTGTCCAGGCTCAGCAGTGAGAATTCAGTGGGTCATTGGATGATTGATTGACTCCCATATTTTATTTCTTAGGATATATGAGGTGCAGAACTCAACGTGATTGTGCTGTCCTTTATTTGATTTGATCCACAGGTTATACCAGAGCTGAAACTTCAGGTTTCAGAGTTGCAAAGACAAAAACAAGAGCTGGAGCTCCACGTAGAGGAGCAGAACCAAGAGCTAGCAGGTAGATCTGAGTATTTTTTTAACCAAGAATTTCAAGCCGTTTTTTCAGATTAGTATTTTACTTGTTCTTTTGTTATTTTGTTATTTTTCTTTTCCATCTAAAAGAAAAAACAGAGGAGATCACCAACATTCTTCAAAAGAAAATTGAAGAGGAGAGCTCACAACGCAGGTAACATACTCAGATTGGTTTCTTGATTCTTCTCTGTTTCTTGATTAAAGATGGGATGCTCATTTCTGAGGCCGCCTGATTATTGCTGCTTTACAGGCACTTTGAGGAGAAAGCTGAAGAGCTGGAGGAGGTGAAGAGGGAGCTTCAAGGCCAAGTAGAGGATCTGGAAGAGGAGAATGATCACTTGAAGAGACAGCATTTGATGCAGAACGAAGCCAAGAGCAAAATGAGACAGGAGACGTCACGGTTAACTGCTGAGAACATGGTATGCATAGATATAAAAGGTGGAGGGTCACAGTATGAGTTTGTGAATGCATGTCTTGTCTTACAGTAAAAGATTTTTCTTTTCTTCTAGGACTTTGAAGAGCAGCTCGACCAGAAAGACAGATTAATAAAGAAACTCCAGAATCATATAAAGAGCCTTGAGACATCACAGAAAGGTACATTTGTGGCTTGTAGGTGTTGATTGTCTAATAAATCTGACTTCTCCACGTTAATCACGTCATTGTTTCTCACACAGCCAAGCAAACGTCTGCGCCTGCTATTCCTAAAGACTACCTCGGCATGTTGGAGTACAAGAGAGAGGACGAACCCAGGCTTGTTCAAAACATCATTCTGGGTATTCTTCCTCTGTGCTATTTATATAATATGCTCATATTCATTTTGTGAGTGCGAATTCTGTTAGTCCGCCTTGCTCGCAGTGCTGGTATAGACTGGATCCTCTGAGAGTGTGAGCAGCAATAAGCAGACAGATATAATAAGAACAGAATGAATAATTGAATACATATCCTCCTTCAAACATGTCACAATCTGCCCACAGAACTGAAGCCCAAGGGTGTGGTGGTCAACATGATCCCGGGTCTGCCAGCGTACATCCTCTTCATGTGTATCCGCCACGCTGACTACCTGAACGATGAAGCCAAACTCAAGTCTCTTATGAATGCAATCATTGGTGCTGTCAAAAAAGTCATCATGGTGAGATTGATTATAAGTCTATTAGTCTTTATCTGCACTGTAGATCTGCTGAATGAAGAGTAAATATTACTATAAATATTACTCATGACCATATCTAAGATTATGTAGTAATTTGACAGCAGTTTAGATTGCTGTTGTTATTTGATTTCAAGAGATTGTTGATATGAGAAGGATAAAAGGCAGGAAGAGAAGTCAAATTTCAGAAGTTGCATAAATGAAATAAAACGTCACATCTCTAAAGAATGACAAAAATTATATAACTGAGTTTCTGAAAATAAATGAAAACAAAACACAGCTGCCATTTTTGTGTTCCAGAGTCACCACAAAGACTTTGAGTTGCTTTCCTTCTGGCTCTCAAACATGTATCAGCTGCTCAACTGTCTGAAGCAGTACAGCGGGGAGGAGGTATGGATGTGCTGTATTTAACTTGGTTGCACTGTAATGGTTTTAGTCTCTCATGTGCAGTAACAGGCACATTTTGACATTCTTTTGTTTTTCTGTCTGTTCACAAAAGGAGTTCATGAAACAAAATACTCCCCGCCAGAAAAAGAACTGCTTGCAGAATTTTGATTTGTCAGAACACAGACAGATCCTCAGCGACCTGGCCATCCACATCTACCATCAGTTTATCATGATCATGGAAAAGGCCCTGACTCCTGCGATCGGTATTTTCCACAGTCTATTATTGTCACAGGCAGATTTTGACAGTGGTTAACCTTTGTAAGCACCTTAAAATATGCTTTTTTACTGTCTTGACCTACAGTACCCGGTATGTTGGAGCACGAGAGTTTGCAGGGGATTTCTAGCATGAAGCCGACGGGCTTCAGGAAGCGTTCCAACAGCATCTATGATGACTTAGAGACCTACACCATTTCCTCCATTATTCAGCAGCTCAGTGTCTTTCACTCCACCATGACCCAGCATGGCATGGAGCAGGGCCTCATCAAACAGGCTGTCAAACAACTGTTCTTCCTGGTGGGTGCGACTACCCTCAACAACATCATGCTCCGCAAAGATATGTGCTCCTGCAGGAAGGGAATGCAAATCAGGTCTGGGTTCACTTTTGTTATATTTGAATAAAAGACAAAAAACTGTTCAAAGTTCAGTTTCATAGCGTCTTTGGTCCTTTAGGTGTAACATCAGTTACCTGGAGGAGTGGCTGAAGGAGAAGGAACTACAAAGCTCTAATGCTATCGATACTCTGAGGCCGTTGTCTCAGGCTGCTTGGCTGCTGCAAGTCAACAAATCCACAGATGATGACGCCAAGGAGATCACTGAAACATGCACTGAACTCAACCCCGTTCAGGTACTTTATTCAGTGACATATCATACACGTTTAAATATTAAAAACTCCAGCATCACAGTCAAGTAAAACAAAACTCTTTGTATTTGTAGATTGTCAAGATTTTGAATTCATACACACCCATTGATGATTTTGAGAAAAGGGTGACGTCATCATTTGTCCGCAAAGTTCAGGTGAGCTCTGTTGTTAATTTTCACATTTTAATGCAATGACTTTCTTGCACTTCACTAAACGTGCCCTGCTCTTGTTTTCAGTCATCACTACAAGATCGTGAAGGGTCCACGCAGCTGATGCTGGACACAGATTATCATTTCCAGGTCACGTTTCCTTTCTGCCCGTCCTCACAGGCTCTGGAGCTGCTGCAGGTCCCGAGCAGTCTTCATCTGGGCTTTCTGACCAGGATCTGACACAGCCAACCTTTGACCTTTCACTCCACTTGACTGAGTCATAGTCCAGTAGCCTATGGCTGCATGCTATTGTATCTATAAATATATAAACACCTTTAATAAACTGTGTACACAGCATATTTAAAATGTATAGGGCTGTAGCCAGGATATAAGACGAAAAGACTGAGGTCATGTCTCCCAACTGCACCCCCCCGACCTTGTCAGAAAAATTTGACCAAGTTTTTTTAACAGTTTATTCTTTTAATTATTTTTGCCAACTTTATTAGAGCTGCAAGGAATAGTCAATTAATCGATTAGGTGGTCAGATAGAAAATTTACTGAAAATTATTTTGATAACTGATTGTTTGTGTCAGTCATTTTCCATTTTTTTTTTTACATGATGGTAAATTGAATCTTCTTTTGGTCTTTGGATTTTTGGGTATTGGTCAGACAAAACAAGACATCTGAAGACGTCAGTTTGGACTCAGTTTAATCCATAATGATAATAATTGCCCTACATTTTATTAACAATAATCAAGGTTTAAATGCTCAAAGCCTCCTTTATGCTGCTGGGAACAAGGTTCTGGTGGGGAAACAGTGAACATTTTATTTTTTATTCTGTTGCCAGTAAGACATACTCGAATGTAAAATTTCCCCAGCTTCCTAAAGCCACTAAATCCCCAGAAAGAATACTGGGAGCAAAACCTCACTGTCCCCATTTGTAGCTCTGGCCCTGTTAAAATGTGAAAGTGTAATCAATTGAACTGCAGTATTTTTTAATTATCCACTCACTCGCTTGTAACAGATATTGAATGTGCGAACATGTTTGCTTCATGGTTGAATCCACTGAAATAAACTGTAAAATGTCAAAATGCCAGGTTCCATATCTGTCTGCTAGTTTTACAGTGCAGATGGAGAAACAGTGTTGTGTTTTCTATGTATGAAAATGCATTATTTAGCTGCGGAGTAGTGAGGATGCAGCCCGTGTGGAGCGGCAGCATCACCAAGATACACGAGCCCCCTCCCTCCTCCCTCTTCCCTCCTCTCTGGAAACTGGAGGAGCATCTTCTCCCTCTGACGTCATGACAGCAGCATCAGCTGTTAGCTCTGCTTTAAGCCCTTTCGCTGCCGACCGCTGCCTGCACAAAGGAAATATATGAGATCCCCTCTAATCCCTGAAATGGCGACACAGGAGGTACAGCTGAATGAGACTCTGGCCCATCTCAAAACGGAATCGGAGACGCTGAAGACGAAGCTGGAGGAGGAAAGAGCGAAGCTGCACGATGTCGAGCGTGAGTGCTGCTGAAAATGGAGAGGCCTTGATTCACCCCTGCGTTTACACAGTGACGGGACAAATAACATCAAATGTGCCAAAAAATATACCCGTTTGTATTTCTGTGAGAGGTCAAATATCGCCAGTTTCACGGGGATATGTGAATTTGTGGAAAGTGATTGTTGATCTGATCTGGCCTCACGTTACCCCAGATTTGACAGGATGTTTGTTTGCCTCCCGATTTTACAGTCCACTGCTTCCATCCGAATTTCCTCTATGTGGTGGTTTTGTCCAATCATGTCTCAGCAATATGCAAATAGTAGAGATGATGGATAAAAACGTGAAAAACTAGAAACAGGTAATCTGTAATGCATGTATTTTTCAGAACAAGACAGATTATAATTCCTCTACAGTATAGGCCTACTGTATCTTAATCCTTATTGCTGCCAGCAATATTCATCTAGAGTGTATACAGAAGCTTTAATGTAATGTACATTGTCTGTGTGTGTGTGTGTGTGTGTGTACAGTGCATCAGGTGGCAGAGAAGGTGGAGGGACTGGGTCAGTTTGTCATGAAAACCCGAAGAACTCTGAAGGGACATGGCAACAAAGTTCTGTGTATGGACTGGTGCAAGGACAAGAGGAGGATCGTCAGCTCCTCACAGGTCACAAACCCAGCTGAGCTTTATGTTTCTAGAGCTGATTTTCCACCTCGCAGCTCACTGTAGTGTGTGTTTGTAATTATAATCTACAGTGTATGGGTTTTTGTTTTGTTTTTTTACATTGCACTTGTTCTAATCTCTTTGCAGGATGGAAAAGTGATTGTATGGGATGCTTTCACCACCAACAAGGTAACTGCTTTTCTTCAGTAGGCAGGTATTTTATTACAAAATTAAAATCATCAGGACCAATTTAGCAAAATGCTGAGATCTTTGAAGACATTTTCAAATTGTACCCATTCTTACTACATCCTCCTACAGGCTTTTTATAAACCAGTGTTTCAGATATGCTCCCTTACACCAAACCAACCTCCTGAACATACTCAACTACAGTCTAATCACTGGTTACCTACTTTGTTGGCTCCACAAAATGAAGCGGTCACCAACTAGTATGTCTACAGTGTGGACACAAGTTGTAAACAGCTCCACCAGAGTGATTTTTCCATCTCAGACTGTTGTGTTTGAAGGATTTTATGGCATGTGGTAAGACAGATGTAAAAACTGGAGCAAAGTTAGAAAAATAAACAACATTTTTGGAACCAAAATGTTTTTTTTTAACACAATCATTTTGTGACCCTTAAGATTTATTTTTGGTTTGGGAACCAGAGATCTAAATCCAAGTTATAACCTCAACAATACCAACAAAAAATGTATTTATAGTCAAATGTAATGTTGATGTTAGTGATCTGAAACATGCAAGATGAAAGATGCAGCAGAAATTAGACACAAGCAAAAGTATATGTGTACAGATGATGAAATAGAGGTTATCAGTACCATTTGTTGATAAAAATTGAAAACTAGTGTTTGTCATTTTTATGTCATCTATACAGGGTTGCAATAACTTCTTCTGACAAGCTTATAATTGAGAATTGAGAATTTCACTTTCTCCAATATCATGTAGAAACTCTAATGCATTGGCTCTAATGGCGAGGAGGAGTAGCCATGACAGCGCTTGTTATCACAAAGAATTTCCATCACTGTGCTATAAGCTGCCAAAAAGGTCCCCTTTTTATGATTAAGGAGGAAGGGGAGGGGCTAACAAAAATTGCTAATATAAAGAGCTGAAGATCAGCAGACCACAAAGCTGTCTAAAAATTGCTTTAAAAACACCCCATTCGTTTTGGACAAACTGTAACAACTCTGACGCCTAACAGCCTTAAGCTTGCTGCTCTGCTCTAATTACACCTGATGAATTTGATTCATCTCTCTGTCCTGGTGCAGCTCATGCAGCTTTGTCTTTTGATGTTTATTAGGAGCACGCTGTGACAATGCCTTGCACCTGGGTGATGGCCTGCGCCTACGCCCCCTCTGGATGCGCTGTAGCCTGTGGGTGGGTGTCGTACTACAGATGATGATCCAGATGTGGTGTGTCGTTCATTTGGTTTTCTGTTTTGTGGTGAACTGGGGTTGTTTTCTGTCACAGGGGCCTGGACAACAAATGCTCCGTGTATCCTCTGTCCCTGGACAAGAATGAGAACTTGGCTGCAAAGAAGAAGTCAGTGGCCATGCACACGAACTACCTGTCTGCCTGCAGCTTCACCAACTCGGACATGCAGGTGAGACTGCCCCCATACACAATGAATAAATATTCACACGAAACACAAAAGCAACACAATAAAATATATGTTTTGAAAAATCGTAGTTGCAAATTTCATGTTACACTTCTGTTTCACCATCAATTTAGGTTCCTGCTGCTTCTCTCTCATTATTAATCAGAAATCACTGTCTTCCATATTTGAGTGAATGGAGCTTCCCTGCTTTGTTAATAATTCACAGCAGCAACGTCCTGGTCACATGATGTTTCAGACAGTCCATTTATAGCCGTGTCTTAGCTCACATCAACTTTTACTGAACTTCAGAACAGCCGTTATTCTTCCTCCTCATCGTATGCTTGTGTTAAAGATCCTGACGTCCAGCGGGGATGGTACATGTGCATTATGGGATGTTGAGAGTGGGCAGCTGTTGCAGAGTTTCCATGGACACGCAGCAGACGTGCTCTGTCTGGACCTGGCCCCCTCCGAGACCGGGAACACATTTGTTTCAGGGGTGAGGACACGTGTTCCTCCGTCTTCATTGCTCCTTGTTACTTTTTCAACTTAACTGAATTATTTAAAGTATTTTGTCATGTTCTACATGATTCTATATGATTGCAGGGTTGTGATAAGAAGGCCAATGTGTGGGACATGCGTTCAGGACAGTGTATTCAATCCTTTGAAACTCATGAATCAGACATAAATAGTGTGCGGTAAGTGATTGCCTTGAAATGACTCTGTCCATAAGCATGTTCGTTTATTTATTGTACAGTCAGGAAAATGCAGGTATTTTAAAGCCCTCTGTTATATGTGATTATAACATATTTCAGATTATTCTGATGGCCTATGTTTTTGTTTGTAGAAAAACAAAATCCTGCTGAAAACTGATTCTGTGCATGTTTTGGTCACATGTAATCAAAGCCTACATATAGGGGCTTTAAGAGACCAGTTTGTTCCTAACTGTGGTTGTCCGTTTCTTTTTCAATAGATACTATCCCAGTGGAGATGCATTTGCGTCTGGCTCCGATGATGCTACAGTATGTATTCAGATATTATTTACTGGTTTGATCTTAAAGGAATAACTTGACATTTTGGGAAATATGTTTATTCCTTGTCTTGTCAAGAGTTAGATAAGAAAATTAATACCACTGTCATGTCTATAGGGTAATTATGAAGCTACTGCCAGCAGCCGATTGTCTTATCTTAGCCTGGCCCTGTCTGAATTTAACTACATCCACCTACCAGCCCCTTTAAAGCTCACTGATAAAAAACAAAGCTTGAAAACTGTCAGAAAGAGAGCAAGCAACAGTATTTTCTAAATGGTCAAACTATTCCTTTAAACTGGCACTGGACAGGCTCCTCTTATTTACTAAACAAAGTGCTATTGGTAATCTATACATCTAAAGCTCTGCTGAAGATTCAAACACTGACCTTTGTTACAGTGCCGTCTGTATGACTTACGGGCAGACAGAGAAGTGGCTATTTATTCCAAAGAGAGCATCATATTTGGGGTCTCCAGTGTTGATTTCTCTCTTAGTGGTAAGACACTTTTTCACATTTCACACAATTAAATTGAATCAAACACAAGTTCATAGCAATTCAGATCCTCCTGACGGTAAAGATATTGCTTTTACATACTGTTAAAAGCATAAAAGCTTTTGGTGTGTGTGTGTGTGTGTGTGTGTGTGTGTGTGTGTGTGTGTGTGTGTGTGTGTGTGTGTGTGTGTGTATTGTTTTCTCAGGTCGGCTATTGTTTGGAGGCTACAACGACTACACCATAAACGTTTGGGATGTCCTCAAAGGAACACGGGTGTCTATTCTGTTTGGACATGAGAACCGCGTCAGTACACTGCGAGTGTCTCCCGATGGGACGGCCTTTTGCACAGGTTCCTGGGACCACACTCTTCGGGTATGAGATGTCTGTTACTAGCGTCTGGTCTGACCGCTTTTTCAGTCTGAAATGACCTTTGCTGTGACATCTTGTAACGGCTGCTGTTTCTTTATTTCCAGATCTGGGCTTAAGGATGAAGATACAGAGGATTAAATGGTAGACAGACCTGCTGAAGACACACCGATGTTTCTGTTTGCTAGAGTACAATCACAGAGATAGAGACTCAGTCTTGGTTGTACATAGAGCATATTAATAGCATTGTATGTACTCCAGTCTCATGGCCAGGGTAGATTTACATATTTCAGACAGTAATTAAACCAAATGGCACGCTTGTATTACAATATGATTGAAAGAAAATTGCACAGAAGTACTTACGGTTACAACTTAAGATGTAAAATATATACTGCAGAAAATATAATTGGTAGTGACTAGCATCAGTCTAGGATAGAAGTGACACAATAAAGTGATGTATTGTATGTGGCCACATTAAGGACATTACTTGTTTATTTAATTGTTTTTTTGCACAAAAAATAATGGAGGAATTCAGTCGGTGGATGAAAATAGGACACATGGAAACAAAATGCATCTGCGGGAGAAGCAGTGAGGTTTATAAACAAGGCCTCAGCTTCACTCAGTTAGACTTAGTCATGCCACAGACTGAGGGAAGGGGGGGGGGGGGGGGGGGGGGGGGGGGGGGGGGTGTCGGACATATGTGGCTTCTCCTGTAAATACATAATGGAAAATGATGGATAGTAGTGGGGAACGATTAGATTGGCTTGTAGAAATGAATCAGTATTAGTTTGTTTCCAGCAATTAAAAATAATACTACATATGAATGAGCATTGGCATAAAATATCACAACCAAAAATACAAATTTGTAGTTTTTGAAAGACGGCAATAGACAGTGAATTCATATATTTTTAAGTCTACATCTTCTCCATTCTTGACAGCAACTCACCTGCCAATATTATTCTATTGTAAGAAAGCACAGTTAAAGGTAAACCCACTATATATGATGTTTATTTTCCATCGATGTGATCTTAAAGTTTACCTCTCATCTCTGTTTGGTTCCAGCTGTGGAAGCCACTCACTGTTCGATGTGCACATTCAGTCACTGCAGACACCCTGAACATGTGGTCCCCCACTAGATATCAAAATACTAATATATAATATACTAATATACTATATGTATATATATATATGTATATTAGTATTTTGATATCTAGTAAAAAAAAACATGTTTCAATTCTTATACTGTACTCCTTTTCATGCAGTTGTCCAATGGCTGTAATTTCATATTTACTGTAATTATTTTATTGTAGTTTAGTGTACAGTTATACAAGGGACTGTTTATCAAAATATTACAAACATAATAAACTGAGTTTTGAATATCATAAGTATGTGTTTCATTATTGTTCTTTACCTTATCTTATAGTTTTACTGTTATTTTTGTTGCCAAATTAGCATTACCATTTAGCCGCAACAGCCACTGTTTTTGTTCACGGTGTCAAATAAAGTTTTCCAAATTCAAGAGGAAGTGACGTCGTCAACAAGCTAGTCTGCTGAATCAAAACAATGGCCGACTGGCAGGCCAGCACTTTACCTCTTGTGATAATTTTAAATGTTTAGCAGGCAACGTCCATTGTCCTTGTGTAATAGAGTTTCACTGGGATGGATACATGATTTAATAAGTGTATTTTTGAGGAAAGACGCCAACTGCCAAACACGCTTTTCCCTGCCAAAATGAGCGATGTTGTGGAGAAGACCCTGACAGCTCTGCCTAGCCTCCTGTCTTTAGACTCTCAGCCTGGATCTGCAAAACTGTCCTCCACCTCCAAACTAGGAAACCTCATCAGAGGAATCACTGAGCTAACGTCCAAACATGTGAGTCTGTCCTTTAAAACTGGAGCTCAGGTGAAACAACATGAGTCGTAGTCAGTTTTTGATGATAGGCTTTAACGTTAGCTTGCTAAGATGACTATGCTAACTCAAAAAGGTGTGTTTGTGTTTTTTACTACAGTTTTTTTCTACATGCCAAGTATCCCTACATTACTGTGCTAGGTTTTAGACTGATTTACAAACAGACTCTCGTTTCTGCTGTGGTATTATTATGTGGTGATTCAGGTGAAATAGAGACAGCTTGTCCTCGTTGGTGCGTTCATGTGCTTGTGATAAGCTCAGACACTCAAGATGTTCAGTCAAGCTGTCAATATACAATACATTCACAAACTGTGTTGTAGGAAGGTTACACCTGGAAGGCAAACTTGGAGAGAAAAAAAAAATCCTGCTGCTCTTCATCAGCAATCATCACAAAAACATGAATGCAGCAATCAGTAAATGTTCCAGACTGTCCCTGTTTTCAACTGGAGTGATATAAAAATTGTGGAATAAAAATGCAGCTAATGTGCATTGTGATGGACGGAGGCAAGTCTCTGTACAACTTGATATACATTGTGTTCTATACTTAAGACAATGGTAAGAGGTAATGTGCAGTGGTTTGATTTATTGACAGCATACTAATATATTTATTAGAACAACAAACCAGATCTAGTTGCCCCTTGTATCTTCACAGTCCACTAACCTTTATCAAGTTGCAGACAGATGTTCAATGTGTGATGTAGACTTAAATTATATAAAAACTATTAAAACTACTATAAAAACTAATAGTACTAGGATTAGAGTAATTGAATTGTAAACAATTTATATTTTTTTTCCAATAAGTGAACAATGTAGAAGATATCCTAGACACCCATTAAAAATCATGAAATAAATGACAATGGTTGTATGAAATCATTAAAGGTACAAACATCTTTTGGTTAAAAGGTAAAATAAAATGAAAATAATGAATAAAGTAAAATGGTCAAAGATGGTAATCAGAGTATTACCATAGACCTTCATTCTTGTAGTCTGTACTTGTCTGTTTCTCCTGTTCAGGAAGAAGAGAAACTTATTCAACGTGAACTGGCATCTATCAAAGAACAGGTGTCCTCCCCCAACACCTCCATGGTACAGCTCTCCTGATTTTCCACTCTCATTTTGCACAAGAAACCAGAATATTGAAATAAGTCTAATCATGTTGTAATTAATAAAAATGTTTACTTCTTCCTTGTGACATAATCTGATTCAGAGGCAGATGAAGGAGCTAATGGTGAGAGCGATTTACTGTGAAAGCTTGGGTTATGAGGCTTCCTTCAGCTACATTCACGCCATCAAACTGGCTCAGCAAGGCACTGTTCTGGAGAAGAGAGTTGGTACGTTCTTTTGTAGTTAGCTGAAAAGCTTAGTCATTCCTCAGAGTCCTTACTCACTAGCTCTGCATTACTCACTTAATGTCACGATCAACACAAGGAGCATGATTCATAGTTTTTTGATTTTTTAAACTGTATTTATGCAACCACGAAACAACTCCACTGCATCCTCCTACGCTGCCACAGGCAAAAATGGTTTTCTGTGTGATTTGCAGGTTACCTTGCTGTGTCCTTGTTTCTGAACGAAAGTCATGAGTTGCTTCTTCTTCTTGTGAATACTGTGTTAAAGGTGAGTGTTAGGTTTTTACAGCATTCGTCATCTTGAGTATGAACGAGAAAAAGGGATGTTGATGTATTTTGTGTTTGCAGGATCTTCAGAGCACAAACCTTATTGAAGTCTGCATGGCTCTAACTGTTGTCAGCCAAATGTTCCCCAAAGATATGATACCTGCAATCCTTCCTCTGGTGGAGGAGAAACTTAATCACCCAAAGTAAGAAATGTTTGTCACCTTTCCAGTTCAATTAGTTACCTGTTTATTCGTACGGTAAATGGAGGATGAAAAATTGGCTTAGATATTATGATATTTTACATGTCTCTCGTGACATATTTGTAGAGAAATCATTCGACGAAAAGCAGTCCTGGCACTGTACAAGTTCTACCTAATAGCACCGAATCAAGTTCAACACATCCACAACAAGTTTCGCAAAGCTCTGTGTGACAAGGATCCCGGTGTGATGACAGCTTCACTACACATCTACTTACAGATGATCCAGGTAGTCTGTTTTTTTTTCCTTATTGAGAAAAACATTATCTTGGTTTGATCAAATATGGTGTAATCTACTCGTGTTATATATTTTTTCTTTTGTTAAAGGAGAATCCAGAAGGTTATAAAGACTTAACAGCAAGTTTCGTCACCATCCTGAAGCAGGTGGTGGGAGGAAAGTTGCCCATGGATTTTAACTATCACAGTGTTCCTGCTCCATGGCTTCAGATCCAGCTTCTCAGAATACTGTCCTTACTTGGAAAAAATGACCCGAGGTGATTATTGCTTATTCTGTCTCCAGATGAACTGGATCTATATGATTATGTGTGGTTGTACCTCGTTATTTAATTCTTCCAAATGGATTTTATGTGTCTGTTCTGTGATCACAGTACGAGTGCGATCATGTATGAAGTCCTTGACGAGTCGTTACGTAGAGCAGAGATGAATCATAACATCACCTATGGTATGTCAAAGTGTTACCAATAAATGTGGTTGTTTGAAATAATTTAAATAGTCCCATCAGCCACTTACATACATCTCTCTTTATTTCCAGCAATATTGTATGAATGTGTAAAATGTATTTACACAATTCATCCCAAATCTGATCTTTTGGAAAAAGCTGCAAAGTGCATTGGCAACTTTGTTCTGTCACCGAAGATAAATCTCAAATATCTAGGTAAGATCCAAAGAAAACATGATTTGATAAATGTCATTTTTCACCACTGACAATCAAGATTTCATATGATTTCAAATAAACTCTATATATTATGTGTTATTTTAGGCTTAAAAGCCCTCACCTATGTGGTCCAGCAGGATCCCAAACTGGCTCTGCAACATCAGATGACCATCATCGAGTGTCTCGATCACCCTGACCTCATCATCAAGCGTGAGGTGAGGCAGATTCTGGAGTATTTTGGATATTGTGGTCATAGACTTTGTAGGTTTACGGGATTTGGTGCGTTCTCCATCCTCTTGTAGACGCTGGAGTTGCTCTTTCGGATCACTAACGCCCAGAATGTCGTGGTCATTGTCAAGAAGATGCTGGAGTTTCTGCGCATCAGTACAGACGACTACACTACTATTGATCTGGTGGGGAAGGTGGCAGAACTGGCAGAAAAATATCCTTCAGCGTGTGACAGTGCTCAGTGTGAAATGTACATTCATTTACTTCTGGTGGCCCCATGCACCTGGAAAACTGGAATCCCCTCACAAAAATAAACCAGAGACGTAGAATAACAGTATGTTGATCTAAATTTTAGAATTACAGCCATTCACAAACTGCAGTGTCCACTGGAGTTGCCTCACTGATCCAAGAAACAAATCATATCCACCCATCCACTCTATCTCATATGTTTTTCAACTCTCATCCTGTTACAACTTTTCTGATCATTGATTATTATGCATAGTATAACTTTATCATGGTGGTGAAGTGATACATTTACTAAAACTAACTGTACCTCTTTGTTGCAGCTTTTCACTGGACTTAAACACAGTTAAAAGGGGCAATTGTCAAGGCCTTTGAAAATAAAGATAAAGGCTTATTGTTTCTGACAATTAGAATGGGTCAAAATGGGTTTTTCAAGTTGAATTGATTAGTTTTACACAGCTTCCCTCTCCTCACACAGACACAGATGAGAAAAGTAAAAAAACAAAACAAAACAAAACTGGTAGAAAGGTTGTCAACTATATTTTTTGTCTGTGGAACATAAACAGCTATGACTTGCCTGCAAACCTACACTGGTGGTTCAAAATCTAAATGATAACAGTGTTGGACTGTATTTAAGCCCAGTGAGCGGCTGAATCTCTCAGTTTCCCAATACTGAAGCTTCTGGTAAAGTAATAGTATTTGAATTAGTTTTTGGTTGAAAAACGGTAATCCGATCCTTTTAATAATCTGTTGTTGGATTTTTCACACCTTGTTTCTTCCTATTTGTTGTGTTGCTTTTTCCTATAAACATTATACATATGCACCAGACAATGAGTGGTTCATTGAGACCATGAACACAGTGTTTTCATTGGGTGGAGACATGATGCAGCCTGACATCCCAAACAGTTTCCTTAAGCTGCTGTCTGAGGGTGAGATAACCACATCTTATTCATTGGTGTCCCTGTGTTATGATATCAGTTCAGCAATTTGATACTGATATTGATTTGATTTACGGTGTTTAATTTATCTTTAATGGCCCAGGATTTGACAGTGTGGAGGAGGACAGGAAGTTGAGGCTGTTTGCTGTGGATTCATATGTTTCTCTGCTCCAAGGAGAGCCTGGCAAGCTGCCTCAGCGCTTCCTCCAAGTCATCAGCTGGGTGAGTGATGTTTATAAAATAAGCACCATCAGCAGTTTGTACAATTCTTGTGCAATAATAATGAGTAGGAGGAGGATGATGTTTATTTTTTCCAGACTTAATTATTTCTAGTGAAATGTAGGATCATTTTGACCTCTTTAGGCCTCTAAAGACAGAATGGACATATGTGAAAGGTACTGAGGGGTCACAAGTAGACACTGCTTTGTTGTAAGGGGTTGCAAGCAAAAAGGTTTGGAACTTGGGCATATAGAGGAGGATGCGGTACTAACCCAGATTTGCAGATAAAAACTTTGTCATAAGACACAAGACAGTACGTCTCTTTACCTGTTTGATACACTGAGGCTTTGTCCCCTCTCTGCCACGCTCAGGTCCTCGGTGAATACTCTCATTTGAAGGAGGAACTTGAACCAGCCATCGTCCTGAGGCTGCTGGCAAAGCTGTTGGACATGAAGCAAACCAGCAGTGAAACCAAGAGCTGGGTCCTCGTGGCAATGACCAAGCTCTGTGAGGGTAGGGCTGGTGTTTCTGTTACTCAGGAAGTTTCTGAAACATACAGCAGCTCGATGGACACAGTGCTGAGACAGAGGGCTCAGGAGCTGCAGTACCTCAGCCAAGACTCTGAACTACGAGGCCGGGTGCTATTTCGAGACACTGGCCTGGAGCCCCTGGAGGTAACATACATGGAGGGCTGCAGAATTACAACAATGATGTTTGAGTATATTTATTTTATGATTGTAATGTTCAATATTCATAGAAATTGTGTATGTTCAGAACATGAAAACATTTAATCTGATTTTAAATGTTCACTCGTGTTGAAACTTGTCACCGTGAAATGATTTAGCTCTTGGAGCCACAGCAGGTGATGTCACTTTGTGGGCCCTGCTCTGATGGTTGGGGAAAAAAAAGCCTGCACACACTTGCCGTCCATGACACACAGTCAATTAGATTAATGGCAGTGTTTACCAAAATAATAGAGATCATCATTTCAGCCGTTATCGTTGCAGCTGTTTTAGCATGTCTGGAGTCATCTGAAGGGTGGGGTTTACCACAGAACTGCGTTCAGTATCAGATGCAGTATCAGCCAAGAACAAGAATAATATTCTAATAATTACACACAATTTTCATGTTGCAATTTCTTTGTCGTTTGTGGCAAAACAAAGTCAAAATGATAAAAACATAATGTATTTGAACGCGCTCACAACCGACATCTTTAATTTGCAAATCCTGCAGAACTTTTCTATTAGCTCTTTTCCTCCTCAGTAAAGGAGCAGTTCAAACTTGCAGTTGTTATGATGTTGGTTCCCAGGTGGATTCCTCTTTGTCATTTCTGGATGGATTTGTGTCAGAGGCGTTGGCAACTGGCGCCGCTCCATACAAACCTCCTCATCAACGGCAGGAGGAGCTAGCTCAGGCAAAAGGTAAAAACAATATAAAATTTTCAGACTGTGGCACAGTTGGCAACATGTCCACTGACTTGTTTTGAATTGTTCTGACTGTGTGGTCTTTCTCAGCATTGAGCCTGGAGCCCTACGGCCTGTCCCTGCCCATCAGCATGTCCTCCTGCAGCATCAACGACAGACAGTCTCCTACACTGTTGTCCATGAGCTCTGGTCTGTCAGGCGACAGTGCTGACCTCTCACACAAAGGAGGGTACGTGGACACAATGTGCATACCTCTCCTGACAGAATTATGTTCTTGTTTTGAACTCACACTGGTGGTTCTCTGTTTTCAGCTCTACAACTCTGAAGCTGGACGGAGTGAAGAGGGTGTGGGGGAGGGAGGGGTACCTGGCGCAGAGGGAAGCTGTGGAGGAAGCTGCGCAGGTGGAGGTCCCCAGTCCCCTCCGGTCACCCAGCCAGCAGGTGGATGCTGACAGCTCACACAGTCAGACTCCAACTCTGACACCAACCCCTGAGCCCGAACAAGAAAAACAGCAGTTGGCCTCCTCTCTGTTTTTCGGCCTCAGCTCCCAAAGCTCTGTGTGTCTGGTGAGCTTACAAATTCTTCTGTATGAGTTACCTTTACACTTGGACCTGCACACTTGGACAATATAAGTTCAAAAGAAAAGCAGTGAATCACACATCACATGAACTCACCTTATTATAATATGACATTTCAGCCATCAGGCCTTCATCAGGCCTTGAACAAGACAAGGTCAACGCCTTGTATATGGCTGGACCGTGTGTAGTCAATGTGCGAAATTGAGGACATAGTCGAAAACTGTTGTGGAACCACTGTATACAACTAACGTTGTATTTTGATTCTGCCTAATGTCAGCTGATGTCAGCTCCTCTCCTACTCTCTGTGCTCACATACACAGTATTTTAATACAGCTGAATTCCCTCTAAAGCTGTTCTTTACTGTACTTGTAAAATGATCACTTGGAGAGAAAGTTAGTTTGTCACTCACACAGCGCACAGCCTCCGTCTGGGTTCCTCAATGGTTTTCTGCCTCTGCATTTCCTCAAAGAGTGATCAGGGCCTTTATTTGTCTCAACAGCAGAAGGTAACAGGTCTATTGGAGGCAGGTTTTTATTTCCAAATGTTAAAGTTACTGCATCACGTTTTAATACACTATCTGTAACCCATTCAAATTAAAAGCCCTCTAGTGTTTCATTCGACTAAAATGCTAGAGGGCTGCAATAAGTGCTGCCATAAGTGTATTGTCTTAACTTTAACTGATTTCTAACAGATGGGAAAATCTGAGCCGATGCCCCAGCGATTCAGAAGAAAAGCCAAAGGACAGAGCTCTTCCTCGGGTGCCACTGAACAAATATCCACCTCCCTTGTCTCTACTCCCACCAATGTGGATAACTTGCTGTGTCACAACCCTCTGGACTCCAACATCACCTCAGAACTGGCCGTTTCCCCATCCGCACAGACATCTGAGCTCTCTCAGGGCCTCACTACTGCAAATGGCACCTGTGAAATAGAAGTTGAGTTAAGTGACAGTAACATAAAAGGAAGTAACCCCTCTCTCATCGGTGATAATGATCTGGTAGCTGCTGATCCTGCTGCACATGAAGACCCGGACAGACCTAAAGACTTTTTCATTTCTCATCTGCCTGCAGAGCTCTCTGAACTCTGCCACTCAGAAATCACTCCTCTGTGCACCATCCAAAGCCTGGATCTCTCAGCATGTCATGTGCAGAAAGAGGATTCCTTAGTGCTGGTCATTTTCATTTCCAACTCCTCTGACTCTGCCATTCAACACATTCTTCTAGATCTTGACTCAGAACAGATAGAGGTAATGTACTGAGCTGAAAATTACCAATGAAAGCTTATTGTCCTTATTAGTCTTTCATATTAAAGGATATTATTATTTTCAGGTATCCTGTGTGTCTGACAGTCCAGTGGAGGATTTGACAGGCCACAGTGTGGCAGTGTACCAGTATTCCCTGACTGTGAAGACGCCTTCAGTTCATGTTGAAGTCGTTGGGACGGTATCTTACCAGTTGCCTGTTGAGACGTCTCAGGCAGTGCAGTTCTCATACAAACTCCCCCTAACCAGCTTCATCAGGTGACATATTTTTCTGCTTTTATTCAAAGTGTGGCCGTGCAGAGACCATTAGTTGCTTACTTTGATTTCACGTTTCCCTGCAGACCCTTGGCGGTGTCCACAGAGGAGTACGGGACGATGTGGCTGGCCTTCTCTCATGATACAAAGCAGAATCTGACACTGATAAGTGATGGCCAGGGATCCCTCACAGCCACACTGAATGTACTGAAGCGGAAACTGCAGCTTCATGTTGTGGAAATCATAGGTGAGAAGACAATCAGTTGTCTTATTGATCGCAGCCTTGTCAACTGAAATGCCAAAGCTGAGCTGTCAATTTATAGCAACATTATGTGAGACATGATGCTTGATGCTTGACGTGTGTAATGACCTGCCATGGCATTAACATGTTACGTGTTACAGTGATCTGATTTATTCATTGTGGTACCTACATTAGTTAATTGAGGTACTAAGACCGTAAAACTCATTTTTGACCCTCTTAACACAAGCTCAACTTACTAACTTTTCCACAGCTTTCAACCCCATCTCATGGTCTTTACCATCTGAATACATATTTGAGCTGTGATGATCATGATGATGAGATGCTGCTGAAAAAAGCAAGTGGAACTTGTGTCAAGATTGTGAGACAAGTTTATACATTAGTTATTAATCATTAGTTTTTCCACTTATATAGGTGTATTTTTGTAACGGCTTTAATAATGTTAATCAATCATTTATTATTGCTTTATAGACCAGTAATAATCCATTTAAGCTAAAACGGCAGTTATGCTGGCGGAGGATCAATACCAGCTGAAGGGATTTTTCACCACAGGGCAACTCAAAACTTGATTTGATTCAATTCAATACAACTTTATTTATCCCTTTTGAGGGCAATTGTATGCAGCAGCTCACCAGCAGAGAAGAAAGAAAACTACGGTTCATGACAAAATGAAAATCATTCAGGCTATAAGCTTAAAAGTTGACATGTGGAATTAGTAAAAAATACATTGATAAATGATAAATACCTAAGCAACAATCTAAGCGTATATGTATGAAGCTGCACAAAAACATAAAAACATTAAGATGCACTAAGAAGTTTTCTTATTAATGGTTTATTGCTCGTCTATAAGTATTGATAAATGATTTATTAAACATTGATAGAGCTCTTATTTGTAACTTATAAATATAAAGTGTGCCTTATTAGAAAGAATGTATTTATTTGTTAATTCAACAGTTCCACTTGCCTTAAATGCAACCTACACTAATGTATTTTAGGCTGTTGATGAGTAACCCCTATCACTTTCCCCACAGGGATGGAAGGTATCTTATCTTGTCGGCTCCTTCAGGATCAGCCGTGTCTGATGCACTGCCGTGTGCATGCGGGCACGCTGGCCGTGTGGCTGCGCTCTCCAGTCCCTGACCTGCCCGACTGCCTGATCTACCACTGTCAGAGAGCTTTACAGGAGCACTGAGCCCCAACTGCAACACCTCCACTGACACGACTAAGCAACCAGACCACCAGACCACCAGACCGTCAACCACTGAAGAGGAAGGTACACAGAGCTGTAGTGCAGAACACAAGGGGAGACATCTGATGTTGTGCATTCTCATCTTTATAATACAGTGTTCACCATTTGTTTATCTCTTCCACTATAAGTTAATTAGTAGGATGTGGTTTTAATGTCCACAGATCAATGATTTTAACAGTTAAATTAGCAGAATATTTGACAGGATCACATCTGTTTGAAAGTCATGGCTGATAATATCCTCAGGGCCAAAAGACTGTTTGTTTAATTTTATGTGGGTGTTTGGTGTTTCAGAATAACACTAATGTCTTAAACTGATGACAGGGCTCCAAAATGACTTGAAGACTGAAATGGTCAAAACATTGTGTGTGAAATGAATACTAGTTATGATATTCTCAGTATAACGGAGAAATCATGAAGTAGTTTCTCTGCTTCGGGTCTGCATGCAGCACAGTGAGATGACAGTGAAGCCCATTTGGATTCAAGTGAGACATAGACATAAAGACTGAGTTTAATTTTTCATTTAGTATCTTAAAGCAGTTCACTGCTGTTATTAACTAAACCTTTTGGTTCTTTTCATGTTCATCAGTACTGATTGAAGTAATAGTGTTTTAAAATGGAAAGAATAACTCTAATCCTTAAATTGGATTGACTGATGTTATTTATTAGGTGTTTGTGGAGAAACACAGGGAAGATAATGATATCTTTAAGGAGTACCAAATTAATTGTTCAAAATGTCTGGTATGGACTTTGGCCAAACTATTATAGGAGAAATTAAATACTCTTTCAGCGAAGCAAACTAACATTAACAGAGAGTTTCTGTTCAAGGAGAACCTGTTTGTCTGCTGATGTTTCCATGCAGCAAATAGAGGTCACAGCCTCGTTTGTCTAAAAGACGACATTATTCCGACATTAACCTCCAACTGCAGCAGTTTCACTTAACTCTTACATCTGTGATGCATATTTTGTCTTAAATATAGCAGCGAGGATCTCACTCTGCGATGTCCATACTGTCCATTTATCATCATGGTGACGTTTTGCAGATGCTGCCTTCTGTGTGATATGATTGTCTATGCACTCATGTTTCTGGTTTGTCCGTTTCGGTGAGAGGTGGGTTTTTGTGGTTCTTGATTATTATATTTTTCTATCAATGCAGTATTGAAAACATATTTATTGGATTTATATTCTTACAGAAAGTATTTTATATTAATTTCAAAGAAAAAAAAAATCATTGTGCTTCATGTACTGTTTTGATTGCACTGCAACAGATTTGGTTTTCAGTTTGTGTGACATGACTCAACCTGTTTTTATTTAATTTAACCTGAAGGGAAAGTTTACTTTACTGTTTTTTCTTTTTTGCTTGTGTCCTGTTCTGAAAACACAACATGACGCTAACAAAGTGTCTAAAACTCAACTTTAACCCAACGCCTTATGTTCTAATGCCAAGAGGGTGTGTTTGATTTGTGCCTGTGGTACAGAGGAAATCGTTGTTTCTTAGAGTGCCTGTCACTACATTCTGCTAACTTCTGAATAAATTCTACACATGTAAATTAACTTCAGTTTGACTCCGTGATTGTTTATTCAATACAGGCTATAATGTGCTGGACTTGAGGCAAAGAGGGATATTATGAAAGTTCTCTCTTCTCATTTCGGTCTATATTTAATATTTGCTACATGGGAACAAATATCTCAGTGTTTATTGAATGAACTTGTAAAAAGTATTAGTAACGTTGTACCTCTGTTGATTTGGTGTCCCATTACTCAGTGTTTAACTAGAAACAAATCTCCCAAATGCATCTACATGTAAGGTACTACAGATCTGACATGAGAAATACAGTTCATCAGTATACATCGTATTAATGTACATGTTCCTAATAATTTATTCATTCAAGTGGTGTGTACTGAAATTATAACATGATGTGTACTAACACTTCTCACTATACCATATTGTTACCTTGATTATATTTAGTACAAATAACTGCCGATGTAATGCGAACACATAGTGTATATAAACTATTAATGCGACATACTAACACTGACTAACATAAAACAAAATGAAAAACATTCAGCTGTTTGTCTTGGTCCAGATTTTCTTCAAGCTGAAGTGTGAGTTGGTGCCATATTGTTTCTGGTGTTTCTGTCACAAGAATTATTTTGTGACCCTCCAAGATTCTGGTTTTCCACATGGTGTCGCATGGACAAAACAATCATTCTTGCACTGCTCTGCGTGGGCTGAACCCTCACACTGAATTCCTTAAAGCCCAGGTTTGTCAAGCTTTGCAAAACATGCTGTGACACACAAATGTACTGTTTTCTTACTTCTTAGAAATATGATGAAGCTGGAGGAGTGGAGTGTAAGAGAGTATTAACAGCTCAGCAGGCCTAATGCAGTTACACACTTCAACATATACAGTGCTATGGTTTTCATCCATAATGTAACAGCATCACTATGTTTCAGAGCTGACTGTGTCGAGGTTGTGCGGTCCGGGGGATGAAGCGCATGGCCAGGCTGTGCTCGTCCTCCACAGGCTGCTGCGACAGGTTGTTGGTCTGCCTGATGCTGTTGAGGGTGCAGCCTTGATGAGGACACACTGTGTAACGAGACAACAGAGTGACCAAGATGGCCTTCATCATCACCATGGCGATGTGTTTGCCCACGCAGGAACGAGGCCCGCAGCCGAAGGGCTGGAAGAAACGAGTGGGCACCTGCCAAACAGAGGAGGTAAAGACTGAGCTGGTGCTTTTTTTTTCTTCTTCAGAGCCACATTTTGTTGCTAAACATTAAGCTGACTTACTGTTTTGTCAAAATTCGTCAGGCTGAACTCTTTTGCTTTGGGGAAGAATTCAGTCTTATGCATAAGACCAATGTTGAGAATGATGTTGGTTCCTTTCCTGATCTCAGTGCCTTCGATGCTGTCGTCTTCCAGAGCTTTCCGCATTGTGAAATCAACCACAGGATGAAACCTCAGAGCCTCGTTGATGAAACTCTCCAGCACGTTCAAACTTTGATAACAAATGTTTCCTTTGTCAGCTGGAAGTGAAAAACGCAGCGTTCAGGGATTGTTGGAATAGTTTAATATTGCCACAGAGTGAAACTGAAATTAATGCAACGCAAATGCACTCACCCAAGACTGTGTTCATCTCCTCCACTATCCTCAGCTCAATGTCTGGGTTTTGTCTCAGCAGCATCAGCATGAAGAAGAGGCTGATGGACAGTGTGTCAGGTGCTGCAATCACCATCTCTAGCACACACTGCCTGACGTCATCTGCTGAGAGCTCCCCGTGGTTCTATCAAACAGAGAAAGGGAGGTGATCAGAACACAGCAAAAACAGTATTATCAGGACAGTAACTCTGACGCAGTTTGTGTAGATTCATCAAGAGAGCGAGAGACTGACCTGTGCAAAGATGAGCTCCGTTGCAAAGTCGACATCATCATCCAGCTTGTCAGTTTTATCAATAATTTGTCTTTTAATCCTGAGTAGGCTCTCCATCTCATCTTGCAGCTCGAGGCTGTTGGCACAAAAGGCAACACAAAGATTAGGTTGAAGAATTAACCATCCACATGTTGGTTTACTATGTGTGAGCATCTTACGCTGCTTTCTTATGCCTGTTGTACAGCCATCCAATCTTGAAGAATATATCAGGCTTTATTAGAACCGTTTGCCAGGTCTCAAAGTAGTTTTGGATTTTCATCAGCAAGTCCTTCTCTGAGTTATTATGAACAAAAAAATAGTCAGGAGCTGCAGGCTTGAGTGCAAGAACTGGAAATATTGTTTAGTGGCAGGAAATGCAGAGTTTAAATGTAGAATGTACAGACAGTGAACATGCAGCTGACCATTGAGCGTCACCCTGAGGAAAAGCCTGTTGGAGATGTCCACCACTATGGCCCTCAGCAGATTGAGAGCATCCACATGTCCGGAGGAGTCGGTCATCTCCTGCAGGCTGTCCAGGTGTTTGGCAGTGGAGCTCACACAGATTGCCTCTGTCCTCTGGAGGCTGGGGCCTGTCAGGGCTGTAAAGCAACCAAATAACAGTACAGTAATTCAAATTCCATGAAGCATGTTTCTATCACCATCCGGTTTGAGTTTGAATTATTTTTGTTAACTTGTTAGATATGGGAAATATGTAGAAAGAAAGATGAAATAGGGCACCTCCGTCTACGCGAATCACTCACCTTTAGAAAAGTATGTCCTCATTTTTTTCCAGAGTGGGACATCGCTGTTGAAAATGATACCCCTCCCTTCCATCCCAATACACTGCAGCCCCTTTTTGCTCCCAAATCTGGCCGTGTAGTGGGCGCTCCTCAAAACATGATACACTACTGAGGACCTAAAAGGGAAGCCAGGCTTTGACTTTATCTTATTACAGATTTGTGGTATAAACTGTGAGTGCAAAGTGTTTTATTTTATAAGAACTTGCCTGCTTATAATGAGGGTCTCCTCGCCATTAATCCACACCCGGACAATGCTGCCATATTTGTTGTTGTAGTAGTTGCACGCTGTTCCGATCCCGGTCCAGATGAACCTGGCATAGGAGATAATGGGACCGAGTCCTGCCAAGAAAGGAGGACCTGGCAGAAAGAAACAGGTGATGAATTAAGACATGATAGTTTCCTGTTATTAGAAAGCATCCAGTCTGCTGATGGGATATCTGAGGTATTGAATTTATCTTCAGACTTTATCTTCATATATGTGAATCAACAAACAATCATGCTGTTTCATTCATTGTCCCTGGGTTGGAGAGAATTTACTTGCATTACTATTTGCATGAATTTTATTACTTTTTAAAGTACAAAACATCTAGAAAGAAACGATTTAAAACAGATTTCTCCTGTTTCCTGTTACTTTTGTCTGTTTACACCTGTAGTCGTGTTTACCTGGGCATCAGTCTATACAATGAATGTGAAGGTACAGAAACTGCAGTCCGTTACCTGATATGTGTGACTGGTTTGTTCGGCTCCAGGCGGTGAAGAGCATCAGCAGCAGCAGAAGAAGAAGAAGCAGGAGGGCGGTGACTTCAGACACTGTGTCAACCACCATGGGGCCGATGGTGAGTGTCTCCAGCGGCAGCATCCCCTTCATGACTCGTACACACACCTGAACAGGCTCACTGTGTCTTCCGTGTGGCTGCAGATAAAGTTTGACCAATGCTCATACAGCACCTGTCTCCTTTAACCAGCAGACAAAACAAGAACTTTATTCTGTGGACAACCTTCCTTTTCATCCCCTCTAATGCTCCTGCCCTTCAGTGCCCATATCCAACAAAGCCCCTGCACACATTAAAACCAAAATACACCCACATGAAGCTTTAGGATGAACTGTTTGTATCAGGGTGCAGTCATTAGAGTCTATCATCATTTTAATGATATTACATAACTACAATCTCACATCCTTTACAATGGTTTATTATGTTAAACATCACGTAGTCCAACATTTAATTCTACATTAACACACCACAGTAAAAAGTCGAGGTGGGGTGGTACTAACACATCTTTAAAACTTTAAAGTAATATCTTTACTGATCTAAACCATTTTTAATTCTTCACTAAGAAACGATTAAAGTATCAATGATACTTACTTCTCTTGTCCCGTTGCTTCTCTTGACAAGTGACAGTGCAGTTTGTAAAAAAAAAAAAAAAAAAAAAAAAAAAAAAAAAAGTATTATGTTTGCTGGTTCCACTGGTTTTAAAACGATCAGGATTCTCCAACCAAATAAATCACTGTGATTCAAGCGTTTATAAATGCTCGGTTAAGCCCTCACTTTACTTGTTGCTTAGGAACACTGCCACCTTGGGGTAACAAGTACCAGAACATTGAACAGGCCAGATAACAGTGCACGTCTAAACCTCAAAGCACCTTCAAAAAGAACTGGAAAAAAAGTGTTTTTTATCCATAAGAAATGGAAAACCCTTTCATGGGTTGGGCTCTGTATTATTTTTTTTAGATGGGCTTACTTCACATTTAGCTTTGGATAAAAGAAAGAAACCCCACTGTCCAATTCATCAAGCCAGGAGGCTTTTCAGGGGGAAATTAATTAGCTGGGTCAGACTGACCTGTGACAAATGAAGCAGGGATTTACTCAGCAGTTCAAACGCGGAAACAGCGGAATGAGAAACAGTTGTCTTTATCATGTTAAAAGCTAATGCCTTGAGAATTTCATGTAAAAAATTCTGTGCACAGTCTGTATTTCTCCAATGTGTGAAATCACAGATGCAACCTTGAAAGGGAAAACAGTGTTCATGAAGAGGCTGTGTCCTCATAATGAGCTTTCCTTCAAGTTCAGTACCACTGAATAGCTGGTATGTTGTTGATCAAGATATTGGCCTCACATTTAGTGGTGGGGCTTTTATCCCAAACTGGCTGAAAAACATGTTCTCTCCATTATAGTAGAGACTAAACCGGAATGATTGAACTTCTTTTTCAAATTGAGGAAATTTTAAATACAGTGACTCGTACACCGACACAAGTTGAGAAAAAATATGCATCATTGATTCTATATTGGAAGAAGTATATTTAGATAAATAAAAAACATCAAAACCCTTTTCATAGACAGGATATCTCGACACACACACACATGCACTTCCACACACTCACAGTCTTTTACTGAAAGTGCTCTGAAAGCTCTTTTGTTGATCCAAAGAATGTTCCCTTTGTTCACAACTTATTTATCCCACTTCCATGTCATTTTGTGTAAGATGGGTTGGTGACAATATTGAGAGGAAGAGTACTAGAAAGACAAGAAGCAGTACACTGTCTGAATTAAATGTCATTCTGGAAATATGTTCATTAGCCGCTTCTAAATCAAGCAACCCTTGAGATTTTACTGTAACTGTTTCCCAGATGGCTGTTGTTGCGCAATGCATCATGTGGTTCCCACTGTAGTCGCAGACAGATTTTGACATGTTTATTCCTCTCCAACAGCCCGAGCGTAGTTACCCTGTGACGTCTCATCTTTTGGCAGGTGTTCAGATATGTGCTGTATGTGCTTGTGAATTTCAGAGCCCAGATCGCTGTGCAGCAGAGTACCAGGAAGCAGGGCACAGACATGAAGGAGGGAAGTGGAGGTTTTCACGCGTGGGGAGTGCTGCTGGTGGGGATGTGTGCGCTGCTGCTCCTGAGCTCTGCGGGTTTAGTGTCTCTGCTGGTTCGGCAGAAAGAGCTGACGGGGGAGCTGGTCAGGTTGGACGCCCAGATGCAGGAGCTGTCACAGAGCTGCAAGCTGCAGGCGGGAATCCCGTCCGGGGACCCTGGAGAGGCTGCAGACCTGAAGACGCTCCGCCGCAGCAGAAGGAACCAGGAGGAAGAACCAACACAAAGTCAAGAGAAGAAGGATATGCTGATGCTGATGTCATACTCCATGGTCCCTGTAAGACACCAAAATACTTGAATATGGGCTCTTTTTTGTGAGATTGTGAATATTCCAGCTTGTTCACTGTACTGTAAGATATGAAAAATTATATTTATGAAGTTCTGAGTTCTGTTATTATGAGAGAGAACAGGGGGAGGAATCAACACTTTTTTCTGTCACATATAATAGAAACCTTTCCTCTCTTTTCCCTTTTGGGAAAAGAAACATCTCCATGCAATGCAAAGAATTCAGGAGTCTGTTGCAGTGATTAAGAAAGGGTCTGTTTTTCCATTGAGTGTTTCCTGGATAAATACTCTGAGTAGTGGAGCATGACCATCGCCTGCTCCTCCCTTGACTGTACTCACATCCTCTGGGATCTGGCATTTCTTCACAGGGCGCTACTGTATATTTTGACAGCACTTTTATCACTTGATACTCAATTATTTGACTAAAACCAAGCCTGGACTTCAATCACTCAGTAGCTTTACTTTGAAATTATAAATAATTACCAATAATAATGGGGAAGACTGCAACCGATTATTTTCATTGTAAGTTAATTGTTTGTTCTGTCAAATCAACTGTCCAAAACCTAAAAATAATACATTTTCTATTGCAGTAGACAAAAAAAACTCAGCAAACATTCACTTCTGAGAAGCTGAAAGAAGTGAAAGTTTGGCATTTTTGTTTTAAAAAAATTATATTAACAATTAATTGAGTATCAAATAGAGGGAATAATGTGAAGCTAATAATAGATGTAATCTTCTCTCTTGACACCACTGTTGCAGTTGTCAGGACAAGACACAATAAAAACGGATATTTGTTTCCAAGTGACTGAAGGAATGTGTGACGTAAAGCGTCCTATGAGTTGTACCGGAGAGCTTTCCTACGTTTGTGGAGGTGTACTTACAGGCATCGCTTAGTTTACAGTGTTGTTGTTTTTTCTTTAATTTCAGGTCAAATCCCTCATCGACCTGTGTAGCAGCTCCAAAGGACTTTGTTCAACAGGTGCACCTCATAAATATTCTCCATTACAACCCTGTGTTGTTTATGGTTCCTGATGCCTCTATTGTTTTCAGTTTGTGTGATATTGTATCTGATCTTTTTTCCAGGTCCACCTGGACCTCCAGGTAAAACAGACATTTTAATTAACTGCATCAGTTACTTAAAGCTAAGCTGAATTTGTCACAGCATAACAAAGTACTTTTGCCCGTTAGGTTTGCCTGGTAGAGCTGGTTCACCGGGACCCAAGGGTGTGCCCGGCCCGGAGGGGAAAAGAGGCAGAAGAGGTTAGAGATCTGTTGAATTTAAAAATCTTATAATCCACTCTATGGACTAACCCTGTGTGAAAGTGTTGCTCAGTAAACAAAGACAAATACACTCAGAGACAGAAGGCAGTCACAAGTTTGAAACAGACTTCCATTGTGAAACTATTGTCACGTAACAGGAGCATCCCACTCACTGTTTACAAGAAACTTTGTTTATAGCTATCACAGAGCTGTTTACTGGACTGATTACACCTTAATTATGCCGTATTTTGTTGTAGTTTAAACTGTTTTCACCAAGGAAATCACTTTGTGGACAAAGTGTTTATCTCTCACTCAGTTACTGAGACATTTCAGTCTTTCCTGAAGTCGTCACAGATTGACACCGGTTGTATTTTTCATTTAGAAAAAGTCTAAAGGTTTTTCCTGTTTGATCATCTGTTGACAGGTTCACAGTCCTACAATTAACAGATGATTATCCTGTTTTTAGTTTTTTTTCCCCATTTTTGACTCATTCTTTTGAACTAATGACAACAAACTTGTCAATGTATACTGCAGGACCCCCTGGAGAACCGGGACCTAAAGGAGACCCTGGGTCTCTGCAACTGAAAGGCGAAACCTGCAACGACATTCTCAGTGAGGGTGAGAGACGACATCACACTTGAACCTGTCATGAATAATGTATAGTGGGAGGAGACATCACATCTCACAAAGTCAGTCAGACTACATCCACTATTCCCCCAAGACTCAACCTGAAAAGCTTTCACCTAATTTAACAAAATGTGTGTTTTGTTTTCTGAGCTGATTTTTTTTTTTTTTTCGGGACAAACCTGTTAAGCCCCACTGCCAATGAGATGGTTTTATTTAACATTTTGTCCTGTTGTGGGATGTAATGAACAAACTGTGAACTAATCCTCCATTATTTTTGGTAAAGTTTTGTTTCAGTTTTGATTCTGTGCCTGAGCTTTAAATTAGAAAAAAAGTTTCACTTTTTCTTGGATTGCTTGTTGTTGTAAAGAGCCAATGTAAGTGAGCAGCAGTAGTGTTTATTAGGTTAGTTTTACTCTGACTTGTAGTAATGTATATATTTGAAGGCCCTCCCGGTCCTCGGGGTCCACCGGGTCCACCGGGTCCCCCAGGCCCACCCGGTCCAGCCTGTCCTGCCTGTTATTCTAATAAAGAGAGAAATAAGACCAGGGGACGTGTTCAGCAAACAAACATGCTGAGGGGTAAGTAACCTCTACACTAAACTAGCATGTTTATTAATCACTGCTAAGAACCTCTTCACAGAATTGACACCAATGCCCTAAAGAAAAAATAAGAAATATTAGCCTTTTAAGTTCAGCTTGTTAGTGTGGTTGTGGTCCCCTTGAATTCATGTTGATTTCAAGCTGGTGTCAAAAAATATCAGAAATATCCCAAGAAGCTTCTCTGAACACTCCTGAGCACTCCGCCTCTTCACTGTCGATCCTCATAGTCAGGAGGGTAACGTACTGTTTTACCCTTTTTACCTAAATATGTTGAAATGTAATATTTTCAGTCCTAATGCACTCGGTTACTAAGGATAATCCACTGTAGCCAATTCAAATTGTCCGCACACAGTGTCATAGTCAGGACTTTAAAGATACTGAGGTTAAATAGTTTGATTATTTGGATTTGTTTTGTTTCTGTATTCAATACTGTAAAGTAAGTTAGTCCATAAAATATCCACAAAGTGTTGGTTCTTAACTGCAGGATTACTCACCCAGAATGAATAAATAAACAAATTCCTGCCAAATATATTGAAGACATGACCTCTGTGGACTCAGTGGTAGCTATAGCCCCGATCACACAGACCACCACGCCTCATGAAAGAGAAACCCACAACGCACTGCCACTGGCTGTAAACACTCAGTAGTGGATCATTGTTTTCACTTTTCAGTTTTTTTTAAGTATGAACAAAAGACAAAGGTTAACTTTCCATTCCTCTTACTCTACATATTTAGATTCATCTCCTCCTCTCCTGACCAGGGAGGCCTTCAATGAAACTGACACAGAAAACATCAGCAGGCCAACAATGAACAAGACCGGTAGGAAATAATCCAGAATTTACATATAGTACAAAACAATTATATGAGTTAATGACTTCGATTTAAGGCTTTTTGAGACTTTTTACTGTTTACCTCTTTACTTTTATTGGCATTGATATGATGTCTCTACCATTTCCTCTAGTTAAATCTAATCTTTCTGCCTGCAGAATCATCAGCACCACATCCGGCTGATGATGCCAGAGGCGTCCTGAATGTGACTGACTCTGGGGAAGTTGTACACACTAAAGTGGAACCTGGTAAACAACCATGTTATCAGCAGAGAGATTGAAGACGAACCTATATTTGATTATATGAAAAACACTTGTTAAAACCAAAACTGTTTTATTTTCTAGAGTCCGGATCATTTCATCCAGACGACAGCCGTGACACCTTGAATGATACTAACACAGGAAATGCCACAGAGGCAGCAGTAGAAGTGTCAGTAGGTGGGAAATACTGTTTTGAATTGTAGTTGTAAACTTTCCCATGTTTGTCTCTTGTGTCCCAGTTAGAGACTCTGCATAATAAGATCATTGGTATTTGTAATCTAATGTCTCATTTCATTCTACAGACCTACTTTCTATAGACTGGGATGACAGCAGTGATGGAAGTATCACTGATACTACAACGACAAGTGGTGAGAAACTGTCATGTTTTATCACAACCTTGATATACCTCAATATTAGGTAAGAATCAGACTGGAGTGTATGACAACAGACTGCCTGATCTGATTGACCTAATTCTGTTTTATTTTCATCAGAGTTTGTAGCATTTGGTCCGTACGACAGACATGACACCTGGACTGAAACCAGCACAGAGGCTCCGGTTAGATCATTACCAGGTAGGAGATACTGGAACTAATTCATGAAATGTTTGTACACACAGATTTGATCTTAACATTGTATCATGCTCCCCTTCTCTCCAGTGTCACCAACACATTCAGCTCATGAAGCCAGGGATGTAGATATAGACATAGATAAGGAAGCTGGTAAGCAACCATTTGAGACTTACTGTTTTTCATTCAAGTGGACTTTCAGTAGCTTTATAGAGGATATTCAACCTCATACCCTCTCTTTATATTAGAAAAGAATATAAGACTATGACCAGCATTAATTCATAAATTGGTTCAATACAAAGAAAGAGGGCTATAAATCGAGAAGCGTGTTTGCCATGGGTAAGGTTTTGGCATGCTTGTTTATTTTTTTAATAGAAAATCACAAATTCCTGAAAGAGGACACATTATTATCATGTTTGTATGAAATCTTGATATTTATGAATGGTCATGTCAGATTTTCACAGTTACTTTTCTATTCTTGTTTTATTGTGTTCTTGTTTTTTTACTATGAATGTAATCTCATGCCAACTATGCAAATATGAGTTTCATATTTAAACTGTGAAAGAAGCAGTGTTGGTAGAAGTGTTCAGATCTTTTACTAAAGTTAAAATACCATGACAACAATATAAATATACTCCATTATAAGTAAAAGTCCTGCATTCAAAATCCTCCTTCAGTTAATGTACAGAAGTATTATCAACAAAATGTACTTAAAGTATCCAAAGTACTTGTTCCACAGCAAAATGTCTCTTGTGACAAATATATTTTTATATATGACATTATTAGATCATTAATCTTGTACATCAGTGTGTAAGCAGCAATTTTAACTTCTATATATATAGTTAGGTAGCTTAGTCGAGGGATTCTCAACCTAGAGGTTCGACCAGTTGGGGAAATGGAGGGGAAATGTCTCTTTGGAGGAACTGCTAACAACTTACAGACGTCTGAAACGTAACAAACAGTCCAAGTACACACTTTTTTTTGTAAGGATTCGCAAGCCAGAAAGGTTGGGGGCAACTAATCTTTGACAGTGGTTGTTTTTATGTAAAAAAAAAAAGTAACCAGTGACTACAGTTGTTAAATAAAAGTAGTGCAGTTAAAAGTATAATATGTCACTCTTGTAGTGAAGAGGAAGTATAAAGCTGCATAAGATGGAAATAAAGTACAAATACATCAAAGCTGTACTTAGGTACAGTAGTAAATGTACTTAGTCACCTTCCACCACTGGAAACAATAGATGTCTAATACAAAACTCTACTTTCTGCAGAATCATCAGCACCACATCCGGCTGATGATGCCAGAGGCGTCCTGAATGTGACTGACTCTGGGGAAGTTGTACACACTAAAGTGGAACCTGGTAAACAACCATGTTATCAGCAGAGAGATTGAAGACAGACCTATATTTGATTATATGAAAAACACTTGTTAAAACCAAAACTGTTTTATTTTCTAGAGTCCGGATCATTTCATCCAGACGACAGCCACGACACCTTGAATGATACTAACACAGGAAATGCCACAGAGGCAGCAGTAGAAGTGTCAGTAGGTGGGAAATACTGTTTTGAATTGTAGTTGTAAACTTTCCCATGTTTGTCTCTTGTGTCCCAGTTAGAGACTCTGCATAATAAGATCATTGGTATTTGTAATCTAATGTCTCATTTCATTCTACAGACCTACTTTCTATAGACTGGGATGACAGCAGTGATGGAAGTATCACTGATACTACAACGACAAGTGGTGAGAAACTGTCATGTTTTATCACAACCTTGATATACCTCAATATTAGGTAAGAATCAGACTGTAGTGTATGACAACAGACTGCCTGATCTGATTGACCTAATTCTGTTTTATTTTCATCAGAGTTTGTAGCATTTGGTCCGTACGACAGACATGACACCTGGACTGAAACCAGCACAGAGGCTCCGGTTAGATCATTACCAGGTAGGAGATACTGGAACTAATTCATGAAATGTTTGTACACACAGATTTGATCTTAACATTGTATCATGCTCCCCTTCTCTCCAGTGTCACCAACACATTCAGCTCATGAAGCCAGGGATGTAGATATAGACATAGATAAGGAAGCTGGTAAGCAACCATTTGAGACTTACTGTTTTTTCATTCAAGTGGACTTTCAGTAGCTTTACAGAGGATATTCAACCTCATACCCTCTCTTTATATTAGAAAAGAATGTAAAAACAGTAACTGTGTTTTTATTACATGAAAAAACATATTAAACTCAATACCTTTTATTTTCTAGTGTCAGTATCATTTCCTAAAGACAACAGACACAACACCTTGAATGACTCCGACACAGAGAATATTACAGGGACGCCAATACAATCATTAACAGGTGGGAAATACTGTTTTGAGTATCAAGTATCAAGTATATTTATACAGAGGGAATTTGACCTCTGCATTTAGCACCATCCATGAATATTTATATATAATATTTCATTTTATACAACAGACCCACTTTCTACGGACCAAAGCAGAGACGCCTTCAATGACAGCAGAACCATTATCGATAAACCCATGCAAAGTGGTAAGTCATGTGTCATATGTATTGTATTTAGTTTCAGCAGTTTTTTGTCTTCCCTCAAAAGCTGTCCATCATCCAAGTATCAATGAAATACATTAGCAGTGGTATAATTCAGATTTACATTGCACAACTAATATTGTGTATTTGTTACCAGTTCTATTATCATCCACATGATATCCATAAACATCCAACAACATCCATGTGCTGGCTAGTGCATATTTAAACAGGCATTACACTACAGTTACAGTCTGGTACGGTTAAACTAAACATTAAAGGTTTTATGACAGGTGGACACTACTTACAATATATCTCGTTGTATGTCACGTTGAATGATACTAAAAGATATAATATTAGAGAGGCAGCAACAGAATTATTAACAGGTAGGAAATCCTGTGTTTTGAATTAGATTTACACAAACTATAATTTTAAAACCCTTTTTGTCTCTTGTATTTAAATGAACAGTGCTGCACTATAACACGATTACAATAAGTCAACTTCAATGTCTCATTACACACTACAGACCCACTTTCTGGAGACCAAAACACTGATGCCTTCAATGGCAGCAGAACCATGATTAAAACACCCATGACAAGTGGTAAGAAACTGTCATTCTATATTTACTGTATTTGAAATCAGTATCAGCTAATTTACATTCATGTTTAACCATCATCTTCAAAATGTGGATTTGAAGATTATTTCATTCCATGCTGAAATACATTACTAGTGGTATGATGTATAATAATATAATCACGTTGCTCAAAAAACAGAGAGTGCTGCTTACTAGTTATAGTGGCTGCAAACACAATAAATATCCACAGTCATACAGAAGCTTGTGTGTGTTGTGTGTTGACTGCAACAGTTTCAATATGATATGATGATATGAGAAAATATCAATTAGTGTTTCTCATATTATTTCTTTAGACTCCCAGGACAACAAGCTAAATTTAACTAGCAACAAGAAAGGGACAAAAACTGGTCAGTAAACTTTGTGAATTACAGTAGGCTATTATACAACAGTGAATTATTTGAGTGTTGTTGGCATTGATATTTAATGCCTGTACATCTTTTGAAGTTGAATCTTACCTTTCTTTCTGCAGAATCACCAACACCACATCCACCTGACAACACCAGAGATGTCATGAACGATACTGACTCTAAGAAACTTGTAGACACAAAAAAGGAACCTGGTAAACAAAACATTTTGAGTTGCAGGGAAACTTTAAAGACAAACTTAACTTTGACTGTATGAAAATAAAAACATGTTGATCCCAATACTGTTTTATCTTCTAGAGTCAGTATCATTTCATCAAGACGACAGCGATGAGAATGTTACAGGGACACCAAATAAATCATTAACAAGTAGGAAACACTCTTTTGAATTATACGTAAAAGTAACAATAACCTAACAACATTGCCTTTTGTCTTTTGCATCTGATGCTGCACTATAACATCATTAGTATGCACAGAAGCCTTGATGTATCCATACACGTTTCATTTAATTTTACAGCCTCACTTTCTGCGCATAATTTCAATAGCAGCAGAAACATGAGACGTATGTTATCTCTCTTCAGCTTTTCAATCTTTTCAAATGTTCCGTGAAATACATTAGCAGTGACACTATTTATGATGACCTTGCACAAAGAATACAGAGTTAACACAGAATTAACATCCAACATGTTTTTAAACTTTGTGAAAATAATTATTGGTCTTTTTTGTTTTTCTTCCTCCGTTTTCTCTAGACTCTTCATATCCACACCAGACCTCCAACAAGACCAATGTGACAGGCAATGAGAGAAGGAAAAGATCTGGTTAGAAAAATCTATCTATCTATCTATCTATCTATCTATCTATCTATCTATCTATCTATCTATCTATCGAATAACTTCTCAAATACTAAAACACACACCTTTATTCATTTAGAGTGCAGTATTAAAACTATTAAATGTTCGGAGCAAGCCACCACCATGATCACCACTTTTGGAGCCTGGATGTCAGATGTATCGCAGCTGGATGACGGTCGATACTGGCTGGCTGATCACTTTTCAGGTGATTCATACACCAACTATAGACCAACTATAACAGAGTTTTGTGAATTATTGTGGATGTAACATTTGAACATTTCTTCCCCAGGTCGAATTTTGTTGGAGTATGAGAACATGTCAGCAATTCAGAACAGGACCTACAAACCTATAGATGTCGGGAAGTTCTACCAGGGGTGTGGCCACGTTATTTACAAGGGGTCATTTTACTTCCACCATGCAGGAACAAACAAGATTATAAAGTAAGTGTTTGTGTTAAACATATATAAGAATTTGCTTTTGCCTTAGTAACTTACCCATACTGAATTTTTTTATGTTTATGTTATGTAACGTGTCCTTTTGTTCTTAACTTGCCTGTGATCAATTTTTCACTTTACAGATTTGACCTGAGCTCTAGGAGAATAGACACTCTGACCATGGCAAACAGCAGATATAACAGACTGGCTTATCTTTTCAGCAACTCAAAGACTTACTTCAAGTTTGCTGTGGATGAAAATGGACTGTGGGTCATTTTTGCATCAGATACAGATGATAATACAATGGTTGCAAAGCTCAACGCTGACACATTGTCTGTGGAGTCTGTCATCAACACTCTCTACCCCACAGCTAAAGCAGGAAATGCTTTCATTGTGTGTGGGATAGTATATTTTACAGATGACACAGACAGAAGAGTGACATATGCCTTTGATTTAAAGAAAGAGAGTCCTTCTGATGCAAGTTTTGATTTAAGGCCAGCTAATGGCATCTTGGCCATGCTGTCCTACTATCCCAACAAAAAGCTTTTCTATATGTGGGACAACAGCAGTGTGAAAACCTGCAGAGTTAAACTGAAAATGACCTAAAGATAATCAAATACTTTGTAAAATGAGCAATAAAAGATTTTCTTTTGACATCAGTTTGTTTACATGAATTTTTGACACAGGAGGAAATCGCTCGTGGAGGTTTGATTGGTTGCACTGGATATTGTTTGCAATGAATGTGTGATTGATTAGTCAAATTAATATTACTGACTGTTGACTACATGTGTTGATACCAAGACACAACATGATATGAAGAGTGGGAGTGGGAGTTTTGGACATTGTATCACGGAGGAAAATAATTTTGTTGAGATTCACACAGCTGAAACAATCTGCTTTTAGGTTTTGCAAAAAATATAAGTGACAGACTGTTCATATTAGAATTATATGACAAAGTGCTTCACCAAAATTTGTCCCAATATTCAGTTTAAAAAGAACGTAATATATACATATGATATTTTCCCTAGTGTATTGTGTGATATTGTAAATACACTGTAGGTACATGATGTAAGGAAACACATAGAGGAAGAGGGCTTCAGCTGAGGGCTACACACCAAGAGCTGATGAATGAGTTTGGTTACTTCTGTTCTGAATATGAACCAGAAAAGCAGCATGGTTCATTGTACAAGAGCCTCTACCTGCAGAAAACCCAGAGACAGATTATGTTGTGGGAAAAGCAGGCAACTGCACTGAAGCCCAAGGTTTCACTGGGTATGAATTATTTTTTGGTAATTTGTCAGAGATTATTGTGAGTCTATTTTATAGAAATTTAGGAAATGACACAATATATAAACACTCAGAATGCTGGAGGTGGTGGTGTAATCCAGCTAAGATAAAAGCAGTGCAATTTTCCTCTTACAGACTTATGAAAACTGTATTCTCATCAAGTTAAAGCCCATGCAGCAGGGCTGAGAACTTGAGACCATGCCTTTAATTAGTTTGTGAACAGACTTGAAATTTTCATCTAAATGGGTTGTTTTTGTAGGCCTCAAATGTCACTATTACAGTTCACTTTGAAGCAAATGTGTTTTTCTTTCGTGGTCATTCTTCTATGCATGTCAGAAATAGTTAAGATTTGACCAGATCCGAGTTAGTTTGTTGTAAAGCTTAAATTGTGATATTGTAAACAAAACAATGAGTCACTTGACTTGGTTCAATATCCAGAGAACACAGTTTACCTGCATAGTGTTACTACTTTGATCATACATAGTCATATCCTCTTTTTGAAGCATATAAGACAGCTTCTTGGTACCTGGCTTGTTTATTGTCCATGGGTCTAGGCCTGCATACAGCCAGTGAGCTGCAGTGATCATGAGGATGAAATGCATTGAAATTTAACCGATAGTATAGGATGTCTGTGGTGCAAAGATAAAAGATGGTTTAAAGTTTAAAGATGGATCATATGAGTTTGGAGCTTACAGAGGGAACAGAGTATACATCTGGGGATCTATTGGAAATTATGCGAAAATGTTTCTCTATATTTCAATTAACATGCACAACAGTGGCAGGAAAAAACTACTTTGAATGCCACTAAAAAACTGTTATACGTGATATACTGATTTACACGAAGAAGGAATTGTGCCCAGAGATCAATTGGCAGAGTGTACCTGTGAGAAATGGCCTGTTCTCTTTGATTTGTGATTATCTGAGAAAAATGGATTGACTGCTCACTATGCTGTGGCTTTTGTTTTTTTGGTCTGTGTATGTAAGGACAAACAAAGGATGAGATTTTGTCAACACCAAAGCTTTAAGTGTATGTTATTATTGCCTTTGTTAGTAGCTAGTACAACAGATTTCTGAGACTTCTCAGTTATTTATCATTACAGCTCAGTGAGTGATTTGTGTGCTGTAACCTATATGATTGGCTGCTGTAATGTCAGGCATCGACTATACATTATAGTTGGTCGGGTAACTAGATCAGCTTATCCATGTCTTCAAGGATTGTATTTTAAGTTAAATACCACGATATCGTTCCTTTTATTGTTTCTTTAAAAATCAAAATCGAATCTAGTGTTTATTTCATTTTAAATGATTAATCTAATTCTACCGTCTAAATTCAAGTTATTAATGTTGTAATCCTGTTGAAAACCATGTAACGCACTTTGTAACTTTGTTTTGAAAGTGTTATTATTATTGTTGTTGTTGTTGTTACTACTACTACAGAGTTACGATGAAGACCCAAATGCAACACAGGTTTACCATACCTCGTGAACGGTGCATAGTACGAGGGTTCATTGAACGCACCATGTCATGCCTGTGAGCTCGTCTTGTGGATTAGTAGATCTCAACAGATCTGGATGGGTGTGAACTACATAGCTATACACGAAGACTCCATATTACTTAAACCGATTACACTGATGAAATCACTTCTGCTAACTAGAGTACCCGGAGCGAAGGCTAACTGGCTAGCGGTCCAACCGACCTACTTCATAACAGCGAGCGTTAGCGTTACATCACTTTGGGTCGTGTCCCACCTGGGAAACAGCGGCCTAAAGAAGCCAGCGCGTCCCAATTAATGCAATAGCTACTGTGACATTAGTATGACACACTGACCTGTCAAACTAAAACAACAGAGCGAAAGAGGCAGTGACTTCGCAAATTTGTTTTTCCGAAGGGGCTGTGTCAAGACGTGACGGGTTTCATCGTGCTCTGTGAGTAAAACTAGCAAGCTAGTTACATGTTTCCTCGCCATTTGCAGCTGTTATGTTAGAATTAAGCTATACATGTGGCCTAGAGCTAGGGTAAAGCCATCCAGCTAACGCACTGTGCAACACTGGCTGTCTCTACAGCCAGGGCTGTTTGTCATTTCCACTGGCAGAAACGCTAGGTGGCTCTTGGCCTGGGCCTAGCTTAAGTAGCTAACGGTTACCTGTTTATCTAACCCAGTTAGCTAGCTACATTGTTTATTTTTCCATTTATTATTGGTGTTGGATAGCAGGTTGTGCTTATCCGTGATGGCCCAACCGATCAATACATTTTAGATGGATTAAACACATTCATAGTAATAAGCAGCACAGGCGAACACCTTCACCAATTACTGACCTGCTTTCTTTGCTAATGCTAACAGTGACGTAGAAGTTATGAAATGTTTAACCCTAACCGGCCTCTCCTGTTTGCCACTGCTGTCTGTTAGCCTCCAGCTAATTTAGTCCACCCCCCCCCCCTGTACACCGTGTTAACTTTATGTTCATTTTCAGGGTTTTGCGCCAAAGGAAGAGCTATGTCTTGTCCATGCACCTCGGCTGCCAGGTTGTTCCTAAACACTGCCCACAGAGGTAAGAGAGAGTGTGTGCATACCCTGCCAGCTGGCTAAAGCTTCATGACATTGTGTTGATTGCTCCAGCTCGTGAAGTAGGTCTCTAGCTAACCCAGATCACTGCTTGTTGTGACAGTCATGTATCGTCCACAGCAGGTGGAAAAGTTTGTAGTTGCGACGGATACGCTAATGTTACATCAGCCAGCCTTTTATTGAGTTGTACAGCTATGACTTAGATATAGCAGATGGATGAAACCACATGAAGAAAGACACAAAATAGCGTTATGTAGCTATAGCTAGGCTAACTTGTAAGATTAACTACCTGTTGAAGCAGCGTAGGGAATTCTGGCTCAACTTCACCTACTTCCAAGGTGCATGGAGAAGGGATAAAGTCTGAAGAGGTAAAACCGCCAGCAGCACTTGTAGTTTAGAGATCAAGTTTATAGTCAGACTAATTTGTTTCTGTCTTCATGGGGATGACTCTGATGCAGGGTACAAAATGAAATAAATGTTTCATTTCACATCCCTGACCCCGATGAAGGCTGAAACGTGCTGGTCTGACAATTAAGTTATTCTTTGTACTACAAGTGTTTCTGGAGTTTTTATCTACATCACCCAGCCTGCCAGAGACCTTCACTCGTGTTACTTGGTTTTAAAGTAAATATTGCATAATGGAAAGAAACAAAACACTAGTTAGTTAATGATGAATACAAAATGTAGAATAGCTACAGAATACATAAATACTATGGACTTGTCTATTATCTCCGACTACAACTGTTACTCTTGATAATATGTAGTTTGTTCAACTGATACAACCATGGTTATGGGCCATTATCTTGGTTTTATGACTCATCTGATGTGTTGTGAACTAAAAAGGGTCACTTTCCCCAATGATACACACAGGGCTGCAACTAACCATTATTTTAATGATAAATTAATGTTTGGTGAGTTGCATAATTAATGGATTAATTGATTAAACATTGAAGAAAAATACAATTGTCAAAAGAAGAATTGCAGTTTCTCAGAGCTCAAAGATTCTTGTTTTGTTTGACCAACAATCCAAAGCCCAGTGGTATGTAGTTTACTATCATATACAGTATGAGAAAGAAGAAACGCAGAACATCACAGTAGGAAGCTAGAACCACAAATTGTTCAAAATTTACAGATTAATTTTCTGTCTGTTGACTAATGGATTAATGAACTACTCATTTAATCTGTAGTTACATGACATATAGAAACAGTTGTGAATGTTTTGTATTACATTGCTAGTACAGACTACAGTGTTGTAAGGAATCAAAAGGCATTTTGCTGTTGTTACAGGATTGTCCTGCTCCCGGATTCAGTTCTTTTCTCTGAGTCGTCAGGGGTCTCGGGAAACTCACTTGCCTACCCGGGTACGGGTGAGGTCATTTTCAGAGACTGCTGTCTGCTATGGCTCTAAAGATGGAACAACCAAGGACAGTGGAAGTGATGGTGGGAAGGTAAGCTTCTTGGAGGGTGACTCTCATTTGTAGCCTTCTTCCACTGTAGAACACCACACCACTTTGTACATGGAAGAAATGGTAATAACGTAATTTAATATGTGCTGACGCAGTCGTGTTTACACAGAAAAGCATCAGTGAGGGGAAGAGACTCTCTGGCTCTGGAGGATCAGGCAAGGGGGGAAATCAGCTCCGCTGCCCTAAATGTGGAGATCCCTGCACACATGTAGAGACCTTTGTATGTGAGTAAACTTATAAATATTTGACAACTATGTGTCAAAACAAATGATCTAATGTGCATTTTGGGTGCATGTGGAACCTTTGAAATTAAGAGTAGAAGGTGTGAAGGAATATGTCCTTA